AGACCTGGGGGGGGCGGTGGGGGGGCATTAAAGATTAACAGGAGAAAATAGTGGGACTGAACAGCCCCAACTCTCCGACCAATCAAGCGGTCTGCCCTTCCTGAGTGAGGACAGAAGGAGACGAAGAGAAGCCAGAGGGAGGAGACCAGGACGACCAGGACCAGTTAGCCCAAACCGCACCAAGATAGTCTAAAAGTTCAGACAAAAATGAAACCAAGACTAGCTAAGGACAGAGTTGAGTAGACCACCATTGGCTCAACGTCTGCACCACAACTGTCCGTACCATTAGCTTGAGTTTCTTTAGCTATTTATAGTTTTTTTTTTACACCTTTTATCTGACGTCCAGCTAAGCGATAGCTGTAGCCCTGAGCTACACTTGAACTGCTGATAGAACGGCACGGTGCATCAGTCTGACGCGTGTTGGCCTCGTCAACGCAACAAAGTTCGTTTCCAGGCACCGTGTGCTGAGAAATGGAATCCATAATTGGTCTGGATTCCTGAGGTTTCAGCTTCATTAAATATTGATCCTGTTTATGCCTTTGGTAGACGAGCCGAGCAGAAGGAGAAGATCGGAGCGGACGTTGGCGTCGTTGGACTCGTGGGTTACACTAAAAGTACGTTGGCCAGTCACGCTACTGCTGCCCCCATCAGGAAGTACTGCTCAGTTACTGCGAAAGTGAGAGTGTCGTCAGTGCACGCGGACAAAAAACTGACCACAGGGGGCAGTAATTGTGTTCTGACCGTGTTCGAGTGTATGTATCTGTCTTTGTTAAAACGTTGACTCTTTATGTGACAGACGTCGTACTGACAACCCGTCTGTCGTATGTTTCCTGCTGGGTGGTGTGAAAAAAAACAGTGAAGCAACGCACACGCGAAAAATATACGGGTAGCGATTGGTTGTGTGTGTGTGTGTCCTGTGTGATTAGGCAGCTCACTGGCCAGGTTATATTTCATAGTGAGACACCGGCTTCACACAATTCACTGGGGATGTTGTTACACAGACGTGTGGAGAAACAGGAGCATTCACGCATGATTGGCCCATGGCATCTAGCAACCTGATTGGTTGAGCCGAGTCATTGTCCGAGTGAGTCCTCTGTCCTACCTGCTCCTGTCTGTCCAGCCAGCGGTCCACCATGGGATGGTTGGCGCTGAGCGACGATCTCGTCTTCTCCCTGTGAAACTCCCTCTGATTGGACCACGTCCCTGCATCGCGGGGCAAACTGCGGTACGTGTCCATACTTTTACCCTGTGCAGAAAAAACATGGAGCCATTTCCTGACCGGAAGGTTCCGCTAACCAACCCACCAATGACCGCTAACCCTACCTTCCTCTCAAGGCTGTTGGTGCCAGAAGTGTGGCGTGCTTTTAAGAATCCCGCGGTGGTGGACCAGCGGGTTGGGTTTTTTCTCGATGGCTGTTCTTCCGTTTGGACTCTGGCGTCTCCACAGCTGAACGGACCGTTGACGGTGAGCAGCGCAGGGTCGCTGCTGCGCCGGACGTGGAGCGGCATGTCTGATTCATAGAGAAACTTACATTAGTTTAGGGTTTTATCAAATGAACTTTGACCAATCACAGCTAACCTTTAGGTAAACTTTTTGGCTACATGTCAAGATCAGTGTGAATCCCTGTGGTTTTCTGGAACAAAGTTGGAACCGAGAGAACTAGATTTTCTTAAATATTCTTTTTCAAACACTCAGATAGACTTGAGTTTTTTCAACTTTAAATCTTTGAACTTTCTCATTGCTGTCATCAGCTGTCAATCAAAACAAAGATGGTGGGCGGGCTCTTTGAGGTATGCTCCTTTCCTGTAGTCCTGATGTGTTGACTTTGTGGAGGTGGAGCTGCAGTGTCAAACTTGACTACGTCACAACAAGTTTGATTCTTGTCCAGGAAGACAGGGGCCCTGGTGGACCTCCTTCATACCCAAAGGTGTCTCCGTTTAACCTGGTCTCAGGCTCCACCTGAGGGTTTCTTAGGCATTTGTTTGTTAATAAATAAGGTTGAAGTTGTTGATGAATAAATCTGCCATTAAACACATTAAATGTTAAATTAAACACTATGATTTAACTGATGACTTTACTGACTTTCTAAAAGACTTGATGTCATATTTTATATATATAACTTCTGTTCATTCAAAGAAAAACCAGAGCCAATCAGAGCACCTCCTCCTTCTCTTACTCCTGCTCCTCCTTCGCCTGGAATGAATCTCATGTAATGACCCTCCATGTTGAATCACAGTCAGACCAGTCTGACCTCATACTTCCTGGTCTGCAGTATGAGGGGAGGAGGAGCAATAGGAGGAGGAGCAGCTGTTCACTACACACACCCTGGTTCTGTTTATGAGGAAGTGAAACTCAGACAGTCGTTGTTTCTGAGAGCTGAAATGGAGGAGCAGAGAAATCAGCTGAACCCAGAAAAATTCTGCTGTTCTATCTGTCTGGATCTACTGAATGATCCTGTGACCATTCCCTGTGGACACAGCTACTGTAAAGTCTGCATTGAAGGACACTGGAAGACAGAAGATGAGAAGTACATCTACAGCTGTCCTCAGTGTAGAAAGACCTTCAGACGGAGGCCTGACCTGGAGAAGAACATTATGCTGGCAGATCTAGTGGAGGAGCTGAAGAAGACCAGACTCCAAGCTGCTCCTGCTGATCACTGCTATGCTGGAGCTGAAGACGTGGCCTGTGATGTCTGCACTGGGAGGAAACTGAAATCTGTCAAGTCCTGTTTGGTTTGTTTGGCCTCTTACTGTGAAGAACACCTCCAGCCTCATTATCAATCACCTCCATTAAAGAAACACAAGCTGGTGGAGCCCTCCAAGAACCTCCAGGAGAACATCTGCTCTGTTCATGATGAGGTGATGAAGATGTTCTGTCGCACCGATCAGCAGTGTATCTGTTATCTCTGCTCTGTGGATCAACATAAGGGTCACGACACAGTGACAGCTGCAGCAGAGAGGACACAGAGACAGAGAGAGGTGGAGCTGAGTCTACAAGAAATCCAGCAGAGAGTCCAGGACAGAGAGAAAGATCTGAAGGAGCTTCAACAGGAGGTGGAGGCTGTCAATGTCTCTGCTGATAAAGCAGTGGAGGACAGTGGGAAGATCTTCACTGAGATGATCCGTCTCCTGGAGAAAAGATCTTCTGATGTGAAGCAGCAGATCAGATCCACGCAGGAAAGAGAAGTCCGTGAGGTCAGAGATGTTGAGGTGAAGCTGCAGCAGGAGATCACTGAGCTGAAGCGGAAAGAGGCTGAACTGAAGCAGCTCTCACACACACAGGATCACAACCAGTTTCTCCTCAACTGTCCCTCACTGTCAGCACTCAGACCATCTCCACACTCATCCAGCATCAACGTCCGTCCTCTGAGACACTTTGAGGACGTGACAGAGGCCGTGTCAAAGGTCAGAGGTCGACTACAGGACCTTCTGACTGACACCTGGACTGAGATCTCAAAGGCACCAGGACCAGAACCACAGACCAGAGCTGAGTTCTTACAATATTCTCAGGAAATCAAACTGGATCCAAACACAGCACAGAGACGTCTGTTATTATCTGAGGGAAACAGAAAAGTAACAGTGATGAATGAAGATCAGATTTATCCTCCTCATCCAGACAGATTCACTTTTTATCCTCAGGTCCTGAGTAGAGAGAGTCTGACTGGACGTTGTTACTGGGAGGTGGAGTGGAGAGAAGGAGGAGTGTTTGGAGGAGTTATTGTAGCAGTGACATACAAGGATATCAACAGAG